TGCGGACGTCCAAGTACAGAGGGGCACAGTAGTGTGAAATTATGAAGTGAATAAAAAAAATTATAAATTCGTACACATATGCTTAATGACTAAAGAAAGAATTATGTTTCTCATTTTCCAGGGGGTAGGTCACCCCACGTGGACGCTCATGACTATGTATTGTACTACATATTTCAATATGAAATTTTTCGTATTTGCATTATTCGCAAAACAAGTTGCTGAATCGGAGGGGGAGAGGGGGATAGGCCAAGTATGTATGGGGGTATGTTGGACAAGGATTCAATAAACGAAAAACGTACTTGTTTTAAGACAGCATAACAAGAGAGCTACTAATTACAGACAGTTCTTTGGGTGTATTTGCAGTGGTCACTTCTTTGGTGCTCCCACGGTTTAATCCTATAGCCGAACAACATAAACACCACATAATTAGCAAAGGACGTTAGCTCCAGGACAAAACCAGCGTTACGAAATCTTTGGCTTCCCGAGCAGGATTATCTCGTTACAGCTTACCAGAACAGGAACTTTCACGCCTTCTCAGATGACACACGAAGAACAGAACTAATGTAGATATTACAAGTTGTTTCTGTTATTAATGAAAAAACAGAAAGTCCAGTAGAGCGATTATTTGCGTAGTAATTTTTGATGAACTTTGGCAAAAAAAACAACAACAAAAAAACGTATTTATTATACACATTAGTTCTTTTCTTCTTAATATAAATCAACAAACAAGATCTCTTTCAAAAAAAAGAATTGTACGGCTTCTTCAGTCACTTTTCTTCTCTCGCCAAGACGTGTTCAAAATAAGTAAATAATACCATACAAATAAAAACTTACGTCCCTTGCACTTTTTAGACATCTCTAAATTTCCTTACTGTTGGTTGCACCTTAAGATGTTATAGCATTATCTTCATGCAGTCATGCTTAACAAAATATTTATTTTTGGCATAGACCCGTCAAAGGTTTGCGGTGAAATTAGTATCCAATCAAAAACACCTTGGGTGTGAACAGAAAGGTGCGGCCAAAATAGGATTGAGCGTGCGACTTAAAAGGAATGAAATAAAAATTGGCGGCTAAACTGGAAGCTACACCTATAGCATTGATAAGAATTTTACAGCAAATATTCATTCATTAGTTAGCCAGTTAAAATAACACCAACTTATGTACGTTTTTTTGCTTTAGCCTAGTTAGGGCTAAACTTTATTTATTAATAGGATTAAGTACGGTATAATTATTAAGTTATTCTGCGACCAAACGTTAGACCTTTTTTTATAAACTTTGACAAGCCTTTAATTTGTTGTACAAAATGTCTACTAAAGTATATTTACATCAGCTTTTTGGTTAGATCCGTTGAAATGAAGCGTGAGCACATGCACATTTAGATAGTAAGGTGTGTGCGCATTTTCAAGACAGACAAAACTGAGTATTATCATTATTATGGATGATTTGCTGACGTGGGTTAGCGGCAAATATAAAGGCACATGGTGGGCACAGCAGAGATAGCCCATTGTGTAGCTTTAGGCTTAACAACAACAAATAAAAATCACTTATTTCATCACACACACAAAGTGACGTTCTCTCTAACTTATTCTGTTTTAGATGATTCAATATGGAAACCAAAACTTTTGAAAGTTGAATCAGTGACAATCATAGGTCCTTTTTTTTTCAAACAAATGCAACAAAACCTCGTAACATATCAACGAGTACAGTTACCAGATTTTCTATATATGGTTTTTTCCTGACCAATAATGATCAATCATTCGCTTCATTCCTGACACAAATTTGACGGTGACATTTCTTTCTACAACTTGCAACATATATATACGGTTTTAACATCCAATTAATTTCCTGGACGAATTACCATTCTTGATACAAAATCTTTGTAAGCCTCTTCTTTTCAAATAGCGCCAAAATGTCGTGACAATGGTATGTCAGTTTCAAAAGTGAGAGACTTAAGACCACGATATACATAATACATAAGCCGAGCTTAGAATAACAAGTCCCTTAAACAAACGCTTTTATGAAACTTTAAAATAGAGAAGCATAACACGGGTCATGAATTATTGAATAGTCAATAGTGTATGTATGAAAGAGAACAACGGGTTCACCACATCCCTTGTGTCATTCATTATCAGACTGCAGTTTGAGGAAACTGTCGGCAAAAAAAAAACAACAGAGAAATAAGATCAAGTGTCATTAAATAAAACTAAGACGCCTTCGCTACGAAAGTAAAGTTTACACAACTGTCTGAAAGTTCTTCTAAACAAAGAAGTCCAATTTCAGACTGTAATTTATAACGTGATCTTTCAAAGTTGATGCTCTGACATTTCGGAGTTTCCTTACCCAAAGGAAAATAATTTTTCCTAACAAGGAAACAGACTGAAAAGGTCTATAAATAAACCTAGTTGTATTCAGGTCACTGCAAGGTTTAAAGGTGCCGTAAAATATCCCCCCCCCCCCAAGAAACA